ATACATTGGTATATACAATGTACAACGTAATATAGCAAATTTTCTCAAATCTTTTCTTCTTTCCTTGCTTCCACTTCATGTATCCTTCGCTTGATCATATCACTTATTATGATTATTTAAGGGAGGGTGAGATTCGGGAGAATCTCAGTAGCAAACATGACCATTTATGCATATAAGATGGATGCAAGTGTATGACATGTTTTTGGACCCATAACTTTATTGTTTATGCATGGTAAAATGCCATGAAAAGTAAGCTAGTTCATTCATATTCACATAACATAATGCCAAGGCATGCTTAACTAAACATAGCAATCATAATTTAGTAGCATAGCTTAGTCACATCATGGCATTCATAGCACATACACACATACACATCAAGCACACAAGAAAGGTAAGTTCGCTACCTTGTATCTTTAAGCTTTCTTCTTGCTCTTCAACTTGCTACCTTTTCCTTTTAACCATTGAGGTTGCTTGCTCAACCTTTTCCATTCATTTTCCTTGTTGTCTCATGGCCCTAAATACACCAACACATCATTTCCATTCATTCATTAGAGCTATGGTAATCAACAACATCAATACTTTGTTTTCTTTGAGTTATATTAGCTTCTACCTTTTGAGCTTAATTTCCAATCTTCTCAAAATTAATTCCACATACTATTCCCACACAATTTTGTATGTAGAATCTATTTCCAAACTCAAAATAATCAAAATCAAACTCCTCCCTACTCAACTTGATCTGGCCGAACATAGGGTCTTGGGGCTCAACATTCCACTTTTAATTCTAATACTTCCAAGCTTGTTTTCTCACCTTTATCCCACACAATTTTTCATTTTAAACACATTGGAAGCATCAAAATAATCAAAATCCAATTCTAGCCCCAAGAACTAGCCCTGGCCAAAATATTACTCAAGTTACATAGTCAAGAAATTCAACCAATTTCAACATAAAACCACTTGATTCTTGTTCCTTTCAAGCCTTTAAACATTATTCTAACATTAATTTCATCTTTTCCTATTCTTAAAAATTTCGTGCAGCATATCCCCCTAGATTTTTAAGCTCCAAAAAATCATTAAAATCCATAATCAAGCTCAACAACAACAAGGACAGTGAAAACTACATCAAAAACCATAAACATACCTTGTTTTGGAGCTTGATCTTGCATACGACTACTTGGCCTTTCTTTCTCCCTTTTTTTTCTCTCTTTAGAAAGCATTTTGCCAGAGCTACCCTAAGGTTTCCTTTAGGTTGGACAAAAATGAGGGAGGGGAGGGGTTATTTATAGAACACAAGACTGAATCTAGGCCGTTCATCTTAAAAATATGTGGCTTGATCTGGACCGTCCATTTTCTCTTTTAATCTTGTGGTGACATGTGTCCCATGACATCATGCTTACATCATCTTGATGACATCATGCTTACATCATCAATCTGCATGCTTTTAATCCAACTGTACACGTGTTTTACATCTGACTGTATATGTGTCTTATATCCAGCTACACACGTAATACCTTCTTTTCCCATCTAACCATATGCTCGTCTCCTCCATATTCCTTCATCATTTTGGCATTAAAATGGGGAGAAAATTAATATAAAATTCGTGCAAAATATAACCCTTAGGTATTCCTCTACCTATCTTCCTATTCTGCACCTTATAGTGTACTTTTTCAGGTTCTGACTTACCCAGGACCACTGGGACATGTTCCGGTACCATTTTCTCACCTCAAATAAATCCACATGGCATTATATAATATATCTAAAGAGAGAATGATGCTATTCCCTTGTTCTTTCATTAAAATAATTAATAATATTTATTTTGGAGTGATCTTGACCGAATTCTTTCTACCAGTCTTCGACTCCGAGAATCTGTCTCCAGGTACCAATACTATTTAGTCATCACGAGGAATTCATCTAATTTTTCTTAAGTCAAAAGTCAACCTCTAGATAGTTGACTTTGACTTCCCCGGATAATGTATAAATAGCCTTTAAATTCTATTAAAGCCAACCTCTTTGCTTTCTGAGGACGGAATTATTTTTAAAACATGTGATCATTCCTCAAGTATTTTTTTTCATTTTCTTTCAATTATCTGAGGCCTCCCAATACCTTAAATAATTCATATTTAAAAATATTCCAAATCAGTCAAAACCCTGGGAATTCCACAAATTCCCTCTAGGGGTATTTTTGTTATTTTTAGCCTCATATAGGCCTTTGAACCTTATTCTCATTTTTCTGAAATTTTTTTGAAGTGTTTGGCCCTTAACCTACCATTTCCCATTTTTTGGGATTTTTTTGGGATTTTCGGCTATAATTTTTATTTTTGTCCTTACCAACCTAAAACTTTACAAAATTACGATTTTGCTCCTGGTTTGGCTTAACCTCAAAATTTACTTCATTGAGGCCTCCAACATAACCTTTGGCTTATATTTATTTCTATTTCTCATTCTTGGGCCCTGAGACTTCTTCTGAGTCTCTAACTTCCTCCTTTCTCAGTTCTAAAAAACTTTCTTTTTACGATTTAGTCCCTAGGAATCTTGCTGTCCTTCCAAGAGATCTCCGGGACCTCTACCAAAAAAAGTCTGGTAGCCTACTCATTTCATACTAATTCCAGTGCTTCTGGGCCCAAAATTCAGGATGTGACATATAATAAGCCTGAGCTTTAGATTAAGAGGAAGAATCGTCATAACTATAATGGCATCATTCAATGGTGTGATTGAGATGATGATAGGTATGAAATTTTGGAAGAATCAGAAATAGATGATCTTATGCATGAGATAGACCTCAACCTCCTCCTGGAGGAAGATTAGGGTGAAAACTTCAATTACCTTGCCCGTAACTGGACCTTGAGTGTGATAGGAAGTTGCAAAATAATCATCCTCATAAAAGTCAGGATAGGTCTACATAGAAGATTTTGAAGGCCTGCCATGATTTCATTGGCTAGAGACTCCATTCGCTAGGACCATCTTTTGCTTGGATTCAGAATCTACTAACATAGTAGTCATCATCGCTAAGTTGAATTGAGGCTGAGCAACATTAATAATTATGATAACATATTCATATTCCATTGTGGGGCCATTAAGTATGTGAGAAACCTATGTTGACTCATCGATCTTCTCCCTACGCATCACCAAATAATCACATATTGATTTTAGATTTGCAAGATAGTCTCACATTGATTGCTCTCCTTTCTTCTAATTGGATAACTGATTTCAATATGATAAAATCTTCACATTTGATTTGTTGGGTAAAGAGTATTAAGCTTTTTTCAAATTTGAGTAGCCGTTTTAAGTTTGACTAATTTAGGAAGAATATTTAGAGTAATAGATGTAAGTGACTAGGGTACTAAGGTCGAATCCAATGCTTTGCACTCATTGAACTCAAAATTATGAGTTTCTTGACCATCATCACTGTGAACCTTCATCAGTAGAGGAGACATAGTACTGTCAATGTAGCAATGCATCTTATTTTGCTTAATCATGAAATAAATCTACTGTTCTATAGCAGAAAATTCGAGTTATCGAGCTTGATTGTGATTTTTTTGTTTAAAAAACCACAATTGTTTGCTAAAGCAAAGACCAGAAGTAATGATAATGCTTATCTATTAGATCCACAATTGGTAGACATTATTTGTATGGTGATCAATCTGATTAATTAGAGATCTCCTTATGGCAATGTCATATTGTGTTCTAGTTAGGTGATTGAAGTTCATAGAGAGCGTCAAGCTCTGATACCATACCAAAGATATAGCTCAATGATAATTCTAGATCTTGTATTATTAGTGATGAGAGTACAATGTTTATAGCCCTGAGGCTTGCACTTAATCACTCAAATGCCTTGCACGTGAAAGTATAGCTATACTCCTAAAACTAACCCATAACAAACTAATACACTAATAGGGTGTACCAAAAAATAACATTAGGGATAAAAATTGCACCTTTACCCTAATATCAACGCACATATCTATGGTTTACATGCACTGGTTTCTTCATTTGCTTTGTGTCAAATGCTCAATACGCAACAAATGATGATGATGAAGAACAAATAAATAAATCTTGATTAGGGCTTAAATAATTACAAGTCAATTCCTTGCTTTAAGTTTTTCTCCCCCTCCCGCCCTCCCTTTCCCATGAATAACTATCATCAATCGCACCAAACAAGGCTAGTACTACTAAAAAATTAGTGCGGCATAAGGATCAATAATGGGTTTCTAACCATCTGCATCTATATATAAAATACAAGTTTTATGAGCCACAATATTTATGAGCCATATGAAAACACGACTTATTTATTAGAAAATCAATATATTATGTTTAAGTTAGTATTCTCTCCTGACCTTATTATAAGCACATAATGATAACTATATATAAATTAATGTAGTTAAAATTAGTTATTTCTTGTAAAATATCAAAATTATCCTCAATAACGGTTAATAAGTTACAGAAGTTTGATTGCTTAGTCAGGAAGTTTATAATTAGTCACGGATATTAAGCAAGAAAATTAATGCTTTAAACGAAACATATTATATTGTGAAACATGCTGGGCGTACATATAACAAGGATAGGAGGGAGTAGTTTTGAATGAAATTAAAAAACTATTTACTCACCAATAAAAAAATGATATTCATAATATTGTAATCACTCCATTTTAATACAATATTTGAATTTATTTTTTTAATTTTTAATAGGAAATTTCTAATTTCATCCAAGCTTTTGTCATTGCAAAAATTGAGAAGGACTTGAAACAAATTAAAGAGCGGTCCAATTAAAATTGTTAGTAGCCATATATAGTAAGAGGGTGGTAGGTAGGTAGGAGATCGTGTGGGGTTGTTTCACCCACATGTACACTCTCTAAACGATAAAAATCTCATCTCACTCTATCAACATTTCAGATCACACACGAGCACATCTAACCACCACCCCCTTTTTCCATTTTCCCCCTTCTTCGTCTGCTCCTCCACTCTCTCTCTCTCTCTCTCTCTCTCTCTCTCTCTCTCTCTCTGTGTGTGTCTGTCTCTGTGTAAATGAACACACGTATATTTGCTTATATATTATTGAAAGAGTGAGTTGTACATGCGTATGTTTCACCCGCTAGTCAAAACTTAAAACACTACCTATTTTTCTGCCCTCCCTCAAGTTATAAATGTACGGTGTTAGGGCCATGAGAGTCCTCATATTATGCTTCACAAGGCAAAGCACAATATCAGAGACCCTCTCTGGCAAAGCTTCATCAGCTTTTAGAATTTCTCAAGGTTCTTATTTATTTCTTTGTATCTCCTAATTGATTCTCTCCTGCTTGTCCTTCACTGATTCTCTTATTACTAGCTGATTAATGATTTATATTGTATTAATTCTTATACCTTTTTCTTTCATATGGTTTTCACAGATTAATTGTGTTTTAAAGCTTCATCATTATCACATCGCTCCGAATTATGAATCTCTTCTCTTCTTGTATGGGTGAGTGGATTCCACGCCGTTCTTGTCAAGTGAGAAGTTTTCTTGTGGACTTCCCTTTCCTTCGTTGTCTGTTCGACCTTGAAACCCTAATAACCTCTAATAATTATAAGCATCATGATAGATACTAAATAGAAGAAGGTAAAATTCTTCATAAGATTTTCATCGATTAAACCCATGTGTTTCTTTATTCTTATATACGTGTGTGTGTATACCTAGAGACACACCGCCAAGTTATATCCTTCATCTTCATAATCAGAGATTTCCCAGATTAAAATACTTGGAGAATCAATCTGAGTTTGAAGAAAACTGATTAATTTGTTTTTCGTTTAATGCATTTGATGGGTTGTTTTTGCATGGCAATCACTCTCCTTAGCCCCTATCAATTGCTATATTTTCTTTGTTTTTAATTAGCTTGGTGCATATAGAAACCAAAAGTATAGTACTGGATTTTAGTTCCTTGGGGATCGTAAGCTAAAATTTCCATACACATATATAGAAGTTAACTAGTTTACACAACCATTACTAATATTACCTCGTGTAATATTACTTATGGTTGTCTAAACCAGCTAACTTACTCTTATTGATTGATATATTAAAATTGGCATGTTGATGAATGATACTATGGTGATCGCCTAACTTATAATTATAACCATTTAATAAATAAATACTACCTCCGTTCCTAAATATAAAAGGATTAGAGAGGTTTAGTGAAAACGAGAGGAAGAAAGTGGAAACAAAGCAAAAGTACTTCCTAAGTCTGTAATGTTTATACTTTGTCCATATATGATTGCTAGACAAATTGGGGGGGATAAATTATAATTATATACTCTCTTTTTGCACTGAAAAATTATTAAATACTCTAATAGTGCTATGTCATCTTTATTCTGTCCAAGTGAAAGTATTAAGTTTGATCTCCTTAATGCATTCATATTGTCTCTTCTCATCTAAATAAGTTTTTTTCTTTTCGCATTCTCTTTTCCACATATGGATTAAATTTATTATAGAGTGTTTTAACGGCATGAGATTGATACTGGCTACACCGGTGCCAACTATTGGAAGCAACAAAAAAACTTGATGATATTATTATCATCATTTCCAGTAAAAGAAGTTAGTGAAAAATGTACATCTTCAAAGTATATAGTCTTGCAAACTAGATATACGTATATGCTGTCTGCGTTTGTTGGTTTGTACGGAATTAAATCTTTACTTACTTTGAAAGATGAAAAAAAGGAGGGGGAAAAATAAGGTACAGTGCATAAAATAATTGTCTAGACATTTTTTTTTGGTTTATATATGCATGTAAAACTAGAAGGTAAATTTAAGGTGAGATAGAATGATCTGATATGATGTTACTGTGCTGTATACTGTCAAAAACAACGAGAGTAAAAAGGTCACAAAATCATAAATATGTAACCTAAAAGTACTTCCTCCGGCTTCAAATTGGAAAACGGTTTTAGTCCATTTTATAAGCTTTAATTTAAGTTTGTCTTAATATTTATATTTTTTTCAACTTTGCCCTCAATTATTTATTTTGTCTCCTTTGGTACACTTTTTCTCGTTACTCTTTTGGTCTTACTTATAAAATTTTTTTTTACCTGACCTATTTATAAGGCAGAGAAATGTTTTTCTTGGCTCTAGTTATAATTCACCTCATTTAAATTTTAGTATGAATGTACTATTTTATCCTTAATTTATTATAGTGTAGATAGTTTTTTTAAAAGATATATATTAAATATGAGTAAAATTGAAAAGTTATTATACTTTAAGAGAGAGTTAATATAGTTTAAGATTTTTTTGGCCTATGTGAAATATGCTGAAATTGCCCCATATAAATAAAACTAGAGGAGCACATTTCCACGTACATTTTTTCTCATTTATTATAAGAATATATTTAAGAAAAAGTATTTTTTTACCTATTTATTATTTTTAATTAATTTCAACTGATTTTTCATTAAACAATCGGTTACTTGAAACTTGCAATAAGGAGTTGAGGCAGTGACTTAGAACGAAGAGCTAGGTGGGTACAAAGAAAAGTTGTAATAAATGAAGCTATTACAACTGGGATGGATATGCGTGTGTGTGTGTTCGTTCGATCGTAAAAATCGGCTGGGACTGTGGATATATTTGCTTGTAGGTCACTCATTTAAGGTAAGATGAATTGATATTTCAGTGATAGAGAAAAAGGTTTATGTGGGTTGGACGAGGAGGACAAAACCACTTTTGGGAAGGTGTGGCCTTAATTTGCTTTTAAGAGCCATGATACTTTCTGGGAAGGGACCCTATGCATTTACTTCAATTGTTGACTCATTACATTTCCTCTTCTTTATAGATCACAGTCAACAAACTTATCATTTCCAATTTTTTTTTATATGAGAGAATTATTTATGAATAACCTGTTTTTATTTTTAATTACCCATATAATACTTTAAAGCTTTTAGTCTTATTGTCTACTTTTGCCTCTATTCATTATCATTAGTCTCATTTTGGCCCCAAAAAAAATTATTATTAGTCTCATTGCACTAATTATCCACACTTTTTATATGTTTATTGCAATCGATAAATTTTTAACCATTTTTTAATTTATGTAATTCTTGTATTATATATTATAAAAAAGGACCAAAGGGACGCAAGGTGTCCTTGTTTTTTCAGGATAAGAAGGGCTAGAAAAAATGCCTAGAACCAATATGTTTGGGTTTTCACATGCCCTTTGAAAACTTTCCATATCTGAGGGTGTATTATTGTATCTTATTTTACAGATTAAAAATCTTTTCAAAGCTTTCCATTTTTTATTAGGATTAAGATGCAAATTTGTTTTAAAAATTTTCAATCAGGAGCAATGTTGCCAGGAAGTTTTTCTTGGTTCAAGATTGTCTCGGAAGTGTTAAAACAGAGCAATGTTACTCCTTACTAGTAAAAATATTAATGTTCAGTATCAATATTTTAATAGTCAATGTTAATTTTGTAATATGGTGGGACAATATTTTTACATTTTGAAACTTTCGGAGCAACATTAAACCTAAAAGAACTTTCAGAACAACATTATTTTGGGCAAAAACTTCCAAAACAAATTTACGCATTAACCTTTTTTAATATGTGCGGATCGCATTTATTGAATTGGTGTAATAGGCAATAGCTTGTGGGATGTAGAAAATGGTTCAGTTGTTAGTTTCTTTGTTCAAGTCTAATACGTAATAAATGAGTATATAACTCATTTTAACGCTAACATGAATAAGAATTTTAGTAATTGTGTAGAATATTAAGGTCGAATAGACAACAAAAGCAAGGGATTAACAGGGGACTCTTCATTTGACAAGAGTTCTGCAAGGAACGCAACACCCTCCTCCTTCTACTTTACTATTATGGCTACTCTTTCCAATTCATTCTCACCAATTTGTGGACTCAATTTGTAAGGTACAATCTCTCTCTCTCTCTCTCTCTCTCACACACACACACACAAACCTAATCTGCCATTAGTGGGGCTAATTAATTGCTATTTTGTTTCTAATATGTGTACGGAACACATGACATCCTTGACTAATTATTTCGGTTTTCGTCGTCTATGTCCTTGTTAGGTAAGTAGCTCGCATGCTTATGGAGTCCTCTTGATTTCACCAGTGAGTCAAAGTGTTGAAATTCTCATTTTTGCAGAATTATATACAAGTCATTTAACATTAATTTTAGCTCGAACTATATATATAATATGAGATCTATACGAAAACAAATTCTTGCTTAGTGCGAGACTCTTTGCATTAGTTTATTTTGTTTTTCAGAATTGTCAGGATAAAATAAATTAAACGAACTCCTGGTATTAATTAATTAATTAACAACTATAGAACTAATGGTCAACTAATCAATAATTGAAGTTATCTAGATCTAAAGAACCAGTGAAGGTATAAGTAAACATATAATGCACATTGGTGAAATCATAAATAATGCAGTTCCCATCCATCAAATGTTATGCTGAATGCAGGATCCACATATTTTAATTACTCTCTTTGAAGTCATCGTATCTTGTTTTTATCCATAGACGACTTTGACTTATTGAGACCTAAAACACCAAGATTCTCTCTCCAATTTCTTACAATTTCACTTGTAAGGCCTAGCCAACAAGAATTATCTCTCATTTTCTTGTAATGCTCCATAAATTCTTACATATACATTGTAATTTGTTGACTTTTCTGGTGGACTAGCTAGTCAACAGTAAGTATTTGCGGAGTAATAGTTTTAAGCTTAAAAACTATATATATGCCATAACATCTTTTTTCTCCTTATTGAATTTTTGTGCAACAGTACAAATCACACTAATGTATGTAATTGATAATGCAGATCATCCTGCTCATAGGGATGAATTCTCTCCTTCTGTTAAAGCAAAACCCACTCCTCCTGTGAGAGCATAAACTGCCCCATACTGAGTAATTTTCATTAGCGTCTTCTCCTCGGCGGCGGCCGAGGGAGAGTGAGTCTAGCGTGTGTGAGTGTGTTAGGGCTATTTCAAGATCTGAAGAGATCTAAGGCAGTGCTAGTCAGGGATTTGAAGGGGGAAGATCGGGAGATGGTGTGATTTCGCCTTAGCAGGAATGGTGAGGATGAAAGCAGAATGGCTAACGGTAGGACTTGGATCGATGAAAACAGATTCAACAATGGTCAAATATGAGATCTACGCTGGGCAAAGGACTATTTAACATCAAGTTAAATGGAAATCTGAAAGCCTTGAGGAGCGATGGATGGTTGGGACCTAAATCAACTGAATACAAGGGATCTCGCTTTGAAGGGCGTTGGTTGATACACCTTCTAAGACTTACGGGGAACGGATTAGTGAATCTCAAATCTACGCCAATCCCACATCATTTGATGTAAATCTGTTCCAACGGATTCATTTGCCTTGGTTCTATGAGTTAAAAAGTTGTAGTAATCTTTCTTCTAATAGCCTCACTATGACATCCTTTTTGCTGTGTAGTCTGGTTGCTTGTTCTGGACGTTGTGTTATGCTGGTTAGTTTATTTTTGCTTCTTGGTGGCCTTGATTATGAGAAGATTATGTTATACTACAGCCATGGATTTTGATAGTGATGATTGTTGCTGGTATGAACTATTGATTTTTAGTGAGATAGTTCTTGCCTTGATTATTTCAAAGGTTGCAAGGGGATTTACTATGCTTTTCTTTCAAGATAGGGATGTACTTGAGGGAGATGTTCTTTTTGGGGTTTTAATTATATTTCTAATGTTCACTTTGCATCAGGCTTTGGTATTATGGTGAGTTTATGGAAGGTTAGTGGCAGTTAAGTTTCACTATGGCTTTTAGAAATTATTGATGTGTTGATTTTGGGATTTACTTGGGTAAATTTATGAATAATTTACACATATTTAATCAACTTGGATATATTTTTATCTCTCTGGCAAATTATAGGATTAAAATGAATTTTGTTATAAATTCCATTTATATTTTGTTTTATTTTGCAGGAGATATTATGAGATTTAAGGGAGAAGAAAAATATTAAATAATAGGATAGAAGAAAGGCAAGTCATGGAGCAATGAATATATATATATATATATATATATATGTATATATTTATGGAAGACCAGAACTTGGCGGAGAAAAGAAATCAATCAAATATAATAGAATATATTATATTGATAAATCAAATTGAAAGATCGGATAATGCCCATAGATCCCGCAAGGAATTAATGAAGCAGTGATGCAACAAATGAGCAAAATAAATAAATACACACACACACACATATACGGCGAAGACGAGACAATCACAGCGAACAAGAAGGGGAGAGCAAACAGAGCAGCATCGTCTACCTTTCTAGCTTTCAACCTGTGACAGCAGCGAAGGAGAGAAAGGCCATAGATTGTTTTGCTTTCTATTCTTCATCCTTTTCTTTTATGCTATTTGATTCTGATTTTTATTTTATAAGTTTTATTGTAGCCGTGTGTGGCTAGCTTTCTTTTTTATCCAGAGGTGCTATAAACTTACTCGTGGATTAGACTTTGTTTTCATTTAATTAATTATGTTTGCTATTAATTTTGTTTACTTAATCCTACTTTGATTGATCTATTTAATGGTTGGCCACCATTAAATATGAGTTTGAGTATTAAGGTTAGTCTTGACGAAGAAAATCTTACCAAGCACTAGGATTGAGTAATATGGGATTAGATTTTTTTATCTAATTTACGAGTAGGATAGAAATGCACCTAGACCCCC